TTTCCTCACCATTTACTAACCCAACCAGGATAAATATAGCCATCTAAATTAATTTCCTTTATTTTTAGAGTTCTAAGAGGCACAGCACTTGAGGTACCAAGTTAATCTTTGTGGCTTATCACCTAGAACATCGAACATTTCTAGAAAAATGTTCAACATTTCTAGAAAACATTGAACATTTCTAGAAAATTTGAGGGGGGGACATTTCTAGAAATATTTGTGGGGGAAACTCTGTCATTGTTATATCATTACAAAAGATTTTTTAAGTAATTACTTGTTTAGGAAGGAATTTAACAAAAATAAGATTACTCAGTCAAACATGGAAAAAAATAAGTTGATCCCAGTGGATTCTTTTTACACAGTTTTATAGGAGCAAGAACATTTTAATTTATTTACCTCTCAGCAATAAAATTCCCAAGGTGCAGAGTACTCTGGGGACGCAGAGTCTCCCAGGATGGAAAACGATGTGAGTGCTTCTGGAGTTTACACTTGGGAAGAACAGTTTGCTCTAAAGTGGAGTCTTGCTAATTCTGTGGGTGGAAGACAATGAATAAAGTGAAATAATTCCCACTAAGACTCTGCCTCTTCTCTATGCAGAGGAACAGGCAGGAGGGGGGATGGGCTACATTTTGACAAGGAGTTCAGCTGATGCTGTATTTTAACTTTCTGTCACCTTCAAAGGAGGAAGGGATTCATTAGAAGGTAAGTGTACGTTATATTTAAAATCTACATTTTACTCTTTGTTTATACTTTTAAAATTTCGAAGTGAATTAAATGGATCTGTGAGATAACAAAAGTGGGTGACATTTAAAATTTGTCATAGAGCAATGCCCTTTGTCAGATGGTAATTAGATTAAAACTCTGCAAGATCTTATAGATTTGCAAAGTTATGATAAAATAAAATCAATCTCCAAGTACACAGAACTTCACACTTCCTTGAGCCACACTTACAGAATGGTTATCACTGAATGGGAGAATTCTTGGGCTTCCCGTTGCGTTGCATGTGTGGTAACATCAATATACTTGTAATGGGTCACAGATCACACTTAAGACATGAGGTGTGGCAGACAGTAAGGGAGCTGAATACAAAAATGTGATTTGCAGCCAAATTTCAGTCCAAAGCATTATTTCTCAGGGATCTCACTGATTTACTTGTATTTAACACAAATTTACTTTTAAACGTGCTTTTAGCTTTGACTAATTTGTATTGTTGGAGAAAAATGTGTAGGTTTGCCTTAGGATATTGGAAGATCTGAGGTTCCCTCCTGGGAGAGTGTTATTGTGGAGAGATCAGAGTCTGAATTTAGTCAGAACAGTGGACATCTAGCTGCCTTGGGAAATACCAGCTCCGGGTCTTTAGACACATGCTTTCCACATTTAGAGCTTTCTTCGTCTGTTCTGAGAGTGATGATGATCTCACATCCCTGACCCACACTCGGGTGGAAATCAAATGTACTGACACTTGTAAGGATCTGCTCAGTTGAATACACACAGTTTTTGTCTGTTTTCTCATGTTCTGTCTAGCCTAGGATTTGTTGTATTGTGAAAACTGTACACCCAGCCACTAGCACCCCAGAGTTTAAAGTGATTTTGTAACTTGGTATCATTTCTATAGTCTAAACTTTGCTTCTTAGAACCTTTGAAATCTAGGTTTCTAAATCTATGACTTGAAATTTTTCTCACTTTCTACCTCCTATAATGCATAGATTTCTTACCTCCTTTTGTTTCTGTCCCAGGCTACTTTTTCTTTCCTTTGTATTTGATTGTTGAAATGTTTTAAAAAATTATTTAGGGGCTGGAGCTATGAATCAGCATTTAAGAGCATTGACTGCTCTTGCAGAGGACCCTGGTTCAAATCCCAGAACCCAAGTGGAAGCTAACAACCGCCCGCAACTCCAGTTCCAGGTGATCTAGCACCCTCTTTTGACCTCCACAGGCATTGCACAATACAGGTGCACTCACACACATTCAGGCAATACACTCATATACAAAATAAAAATAATAAATAAAGCTGGGTGTGGTGGCACACACCTTTAACCCCAGCACTCAGGAGGCATAGGCAGGTAGATCTCTGTGAGTTCGAGGCTAGCCTGGTCTACATAGTGAGTTCCAGGCCAGCTGGGGCTACTGGGAGACCCTGTCTCAAAACATTTCCAGGGGAATCTGTTTTCTTTTGACCTCTTCAGGTACTGCATGACATGGGTACACTTACATGCATGCAGGCAATACACTCAATCACATAAAATAAAAATAATAAGTAAAATATTTTAAAAATATTAATAAAAAGAAATTGATTTAGATTACTATTATCTTTTGTATTTTGATTTCTTTTTATTAGAAAGGCTCTATATGTGTATATTTTCTCCTTCTATTAAAAATTTAAATTGCAGATTACTGCTAGATTAAAGGGCGAGTCTTTTTTATTATTCACTCAAATACATTTCTCGGGCCCTTTGTGCTCAGAGGCAATGCCTTCTGATTTGATATCTATCTTTCCAGACTCTTTTCATTTTATTTACACCAAATTTAAGTAATTATAATGAAAGAAAATGCTGAGGGTTTATAAATGATCCTGCTATTATAAGGTAGACATTGTTCCATAAATTTCTTTTTAACATATATTGAAAAAATATTCATACATATGAAACTGCCTAACTAAAAATGTGTCTTTTTATGTGTATGTATGCATATTTGTGTGTATAGTATGTGTTTGTGTGTGTACGTGTGTGTGAGAGAGAGTGGCCATATGTCACAGCATGCAGGCATGCCTGTAGAGGTCAGAGGACAACCTTGGGCATTGTTCCCTTCCATCTTTATTGAAAAAGAGCCTCTTGTTGCTTGTTGCTGTGTGTGTTGGTCTCGCTAGCCTGTGGGGATTCCCCTGTCCCTGCCTCCCATCTTCCTATAGGAAATCTGGGATTACAGATGTGCAGAGTATGTGGTTTGGGGGGACCTGAAATACCGCACTTATGCATGAGCCCTAAGCTGTCTGTCCACTGAGCCATCTCGCCAGTCCTGAAACTGCCTAATTTTCAATCTTTCTTAGAATAGATACAAGAAGGTTTATTTGCTGCTGAAGAATAATTGTATGGAGTCCTGTTTTATTTCATTTTATGCAACAGTGTACACATAATTTTAATATTTTTATTCTTTGAAAATTTCATATTTGCATGCAATATTTTTGACCATATCCATTCCTACCTCCCTCCCAAAACTCCACCCACATCCTCCCATAGCACTTTTCCCTCCTAACTTTATGCCTTCACTTTCTTTTTAATAATCCGCTGAATCCCAATAGCGTAGATGTGGGGACATCCACTGAAGCATAGGGAACCTACCAGTGGCTACATACCCAGAGAAATATGACTCTCTCTTTCCCAGAAGCTATTAATTGCCAGTAGCTCTCAGGTACGGGCGTGGCCTTATGAGCATCTCCCCAGGTTCTGCTGGAATTTTTTTGAGACAAGGTGTAGCCCCAGCTCACCTGGAACCTACTATGTAGACCAGGCTGACCTTGATCTCACAATCTTCCACCTGCCTCTGCCTTCTAAGTAATAGGATTAAATGCGTTCGCCATAACACCTGGCCCTACTGGCATTTTGACAAGCTTGATCTTGTGCAGGCCTTATCCTGGTCATTAAAACTGCTATGAGTTCATGAGTACAATACCTATGTCATGCCCGGAAGACACCCTTTCACTGCACTCCTCCCCATCCCCCTGTTCTTACATTCTTCCCGCTTCTTCCATCATGTCCCCTTGGGAGTGATTTAACGTAGATACCTCTCTTAGGACTGAGCACCTACAGTGCTTATTCTCAGCACTTTGACAATTATGAATCTCTTTATTGACCACTACCCACCGCAAAAAGGGGCTTCCATGCTCAGATCGCTGTGTATAAAAATAAATATTTAGAAGGCAGGTTAACGAGAGAAATGAACATAAATTTGATGGGTAAGAAGTGTTTATTGTTGTTGCTACCACCGAGCTGCACACAACTCTTCTCAAATAAATGTTAAAAAATTTCTTTCTAGGTTTATTTATTTACTATCTTAACAACTGAAATCAGTGTACGTGGTTTTTCCCATTGTAACTTCCATACTATTATTTTAATTTTATTTTTTATTCTTGCTCAACTTCTTTTTACTATTTTTTTAATGTAACATTTTCAAACATGTATACAACGTGTTTTGATTACTCTCCCCCCACCTTTTCTCATCTCCTTCCTGCCCTCACGGTCTTTCTTACTTGATTCTTCTAGTCTTCCCATGTAGAAAATTACTTCACCACTGCACTCGTATATTCTCAGGAAATTATCTTTATTAACTTAGTTGCTTTTGCAGCATTAGGATAAAATCCAGGAATGGCAGGTTCTAGGTAAGGTGTCCTTTCACTGAGATACCCACACTCAACCAAAATAGTTTTTTTCCCCCTTAAATTTCAATTTGGAAAGGTTATTTAAGAAATGGAAACTCCACGAAAACAATAATGTTTATCCTGCTAGACTAGTCATTTTATAGGTTTTCAATTGTTGAACTGTTTCATATTTACACCCTAATTTTCCCTTTAAAACATTTAAGTCATATTACTCTTCAGATGATAGTTAATTAAAATAGATTTTGACAGCATTTTGATAAGTCTTTAAAATTTCTTTTTTTTTTTTTAGTTTTTGTGTATGGGAGTATTATGTGCATGTGTGTAAGTGCACCCATGATCTGCAGTGCACGAGGAGGTCAGAAGAGGACATCAGATTCACTGGAACTGGAGTTGAGGACAGTTGTTAGTCACCGTGCATGTGCTGGGACTTGAACCCAGGTCCTCTGCAAGAGCATTAAGTGCTCAGCCACTGAGCCATCTCTCTAGTCCCTTACTTAGCATTTTCAAAATCAATGTTCCCAAGTAACTTCAATCTGCAATTTCTTATGCATTATGATGCAATTTTAAGACATAAAATATATTATTAGCTCTTTGTTTTTCCTGCCATAGAAACCAAACCCAACCAATGGCTAATGAGAACTACACACAGATCACAGAATTCGTTTTCGTCGGCTTGAAGTATCACCCTAAGCTTCAGGTGTTCCTTTTCTTGCTCTTTTTGCTTTTTTACCTCGTTACTATGACAGGGAACTTGGGCATGATTACTCTGATTCGCATCGATTCCCGTCTTCACACACCCATGTACTTTTTCCTCAGCCACCTGTCATTTGTGGATATCTGTTTTTCATCAGTCGTAGGTCCCAAGATGCTCACTGACTTCTTTGCAGAGAGGAAAACCATCTCTTTCTTGGGTTGTGCCTTGCAGCAGTGGTTCTTTGGTTTCTTCGTGGCCGTTGAGTGTCTCCTGTTGGCGTCCATGGCCTATGACCGCTATGTGGCCATCTGTAACCCACTGTTGTATTCAGTCTCCATGTCCCAGAGACTCTGTGTTCAGCTGGTGGTAGGACCCTATGCAGTAGGTTTCTTCAACACCATGACTCACACAACAGGTGCCTTCCGGCTCCCCTTTTGTGGCTCCAACATTATTAACCATTTCTTCTGTGACATGTCTCCCATCCTTTCCCTCATTTGTGCTGACATCTGGATAAATAAACTGTTAGTTTTCATTGTGGCAGGAGCTGTCTTGGTGGTCAGCAGCACCACCATAATAGTCTCCTACTTCTACATCCTTGTCGCCATCCTGAAGATCCGCTCTGCAGAGGGGAGGCGGAAAGCCTTCTCCACCTGCTCTTCCCACGTCACAGCGGTTTCCATTTTGTATGGGACACTCTTCTTTATCTACGTGCGGCCAAGCGCCATTTCTTCTCTGGACCTCAATAAGGTGGTGTCCGTGTTCTACACGGCTGTGATCCCCATGCTGAACCCTCTCATCTACAGCCTGAGAAACAAAGAGGTGAAAGCGGCCATGGGTAGGACGATCACCAAGAGCAAGCTTTTCATCAAAAATTAAGTTCCTATCAAGAACAGAATGCAGGGGCAAGGCAAAGCACAGTTTCCTCCATGACTGGATTACCTAGATTCATCTAAAGACGCCAAGCAGTTTGCAGAATATGACGTTGGCATCTTCTGCCCTTTCATATGGCTTCTATTTTATTATCTACGGTTAAACTCTTTTTCATCATAAATGCTAAAAATTCCTAGTCAAACACAGGGTTGTTTCATGTATATAATATGTACATATATATATATATATACATATATTTATATATAACTGGAAAGAAGTTAAGATTTAATAAATCCTAGACCTACAAATACAACCATATTAATAGGGACCATGCAAACATCCAGACCCTGGTGACCCATTGTAACATGTTTTCCTCCTTTTCCTGTAGGCAAAACTGAGTATAAACAGGAAAGCAGATTACTTAGCTTAAAAATAATTTAACTAAATAATTTCCTAATGTTCATTCATTTTATGCCTGTTTTCTTTCTTCTAGCTTCCAAAAATAAAATGATAATTGCAGAACTTGCAGAAATGTAAAACAGTAACATTGATTAAAAATAGAAACCCTTTAGGCTGGAGAGATGGCTCAGTGGTTAAGAACACTGACTGTTCTTGCAGAGGACTTGAGTTTGATTCCAGGCACCCACATGGCTGCTGCGAACTGTCCTTAACTCCAGTTCCAGGGGAATCTGAAGCCCTCTTTTGACCTCTGCAGCATTGCATGACACGGGTGCACTCACATACATGCAGGCAATACACTCATACACATAAAAATAATAAATAAAATATTATAAAAAATAGAAATCCTATAATCATTTGAACATTGACAAAAATGTTTCGATCTCTATGATTTTTGAATCTGATATTTCTCTATTTGGTATTCAGGAACCCCCTGCCCCAAGTTTTTTAGATAAAAGTGAATGGGAAAGAAGGGACTGGGCAAGTGACTCAGGGGTTCAAAGCACTTGTTGCTCTTCCAGAAGACCCCCAATGTCTGAAAGTTTACAACTGATTGTAACCCCAACTTCAAGAAATCTATTGCCCTATTCTAGATTCTGCAGGAACCTGCACACATGTGTACAATCCCATATACATATATGCATTACTAAAAATAAAATAATATTTTTAAAAAATGAATGAGAAAGCTAGAAAAAATTATAAACTTGACATGATAGCATATACCTGTAAATTCCAGGACTCAGGAGGCTGTGGTGGGAGGATACAGTTCTAGGCCAGCCTGGGTTGTAGAATGAGTTTAAGCCTGGACTCTATAATGTGATTTTGTCTTTAATAAATATAAATAAATAAATAAATAAATAAACCAATGTTTCTATAACCTATTTTAATGTTATTTTTGCTTCCAACTAAAAAAATACAGTTGATGGTTAACAACTTTCTGCTGATCTTAAAATGTGTTCAAGAGTTCAGAAACTAGTTATTTTCAGGGAAGATAAAATGATACTTGAATGTATCATGATATAAAAATGGGCTCAGCACCCTCATCCATTCCCCCTGTCTGCCCTTCTGGTAAATCTAGTCAGCCAGAGGTCCCTGTTCCAGGAGGGTCAGCTGTTCCTCATCTACGGCAATCCATTGTCAGTATTCCTTTGGATAGAATTGGGATCTGCTGTTCATTTTTCCAGTAGTGTGTTGGGTTACTATCTGAAAGAGCCTTTATGCATCCTGGCCATCAGCTCGACTGAAGGTATCCCCTGTCTGGCTTTGCTGTTTGTCAAGTAACTTTTAGCTATATATATGTATGTTCTTATGAAATTATATTGGCCCCTTTAATCTTTGGTTATACTTCCCTTTTGGGTGTTTAAGGACATACAATTGGACCAGATAAACTGATTTGTTTTTACTCTTGAGGTCGTTTGAAGATCTGTTCCTCAGGGGTCCCATGGGCTTAAGAGGAGCCCCTGGCTCCTTTCTTTTACCAGTTCCATCTATGTGAAGATAAGTCAAAGGTCCTGCTCGACCATTGTTGGCTTCTCTTGGAAGCATGGAGGAAATGATTCCTCCATGTTGACCCTCCTCTTTATAGACTGGACACTGGTTCAAGTCCATCTGGTGGGGTCTCCTTGGC